GTAGAGCTGATATTCCAATCAGAGTTACGGCGTCGAAGCCGGCTTTTGAGAAGAATACATGCAAAACCAGTAGTCACAAATCTGGCAGATGCTGCCCATTTGCGATCAAAGTCAGAGCTGACATCCCAATCAGGGCTACGGCGTCGAAGCCGGCCTTTGAGAGGAATAGAAGCAAAACCAACAATTGTAAAGGGGTGGCGATGCAAGACGATTGGTGGGACGGGAGACTTTTGGACGAGTGATATTTAGTTAAATTTAATTTTCTCTTAAAGTAGATGCCTGAAAGCGCAAAGACAATTTAGAAATCGAAAAAACGCCGTGCCGGTAGACGCGAGCAAATACACCGATTGCTATACCAATACGAACAATCGGCTCAAATCGGAGGATTTCCGCTCGGGTGTGGTGCAAAACTGCGAATAATCGCGAATAGACTTTTAACTACAGCATCAGCATCGGCATCAGCATCAACATCAGCACCAGCATCAGCACCAATATCAACACCAGTATCCGCACCTAGACCGTGGAGGCTCATTCCAATCACCACACCCACTCCATCGTTCGAGCCCATCAAGTAGTACGTCCGAAATTTTAAAATATTCATAAATAGTAATTGCGAGGGTAGACTCGATCAAGATCAAGATTCCGTCCAGACGTGAGTCGTTTACGGGGGTATCCTGAATTAGGAGGTCTAAAAAAAAAGCGGTCTTTAGTGAATTTTTTTAGGATTGAAAAAAATAATTATGTTTATCGAACTTTTTATCCTATTTTCATACATATTTGAGTAGTCTGTACAAATTTTTTCAACGACAAATATTCAAATTGAGTCGAAATTGTAGAGCACCTCACAATTAAAACCTCCTATCGGCGGGAAAGATGGAGGTCGTAATTTTAGTTTGACACAAAAAAACCAAAAGAAATTTACATTTTTATACATTTTTCTTCTATGTGAACTAAAAGAATTCATACAAACAAATTTTAAACAACTTTTTTATCAAATTAAAGTGATTTTTTTCACTCAAACAACTCGTTCTTTTTTTCAAACTTGCAGTAATTTCACATTTCACCATTTTTGCGGGTTTTTCTTAGTTCACATAGAAGAAAAATGTATAAAAATGTAAATTTCTTTTGGTTTTTTTGTGTCAAACCAAAATTACGACCTGCATCTTTCCCGCCGATGGGAGGTTTTAATTGTGAGGTGTTCTACAAATATGCGTCACAGTCGACTGAGTTTGAATATTTCTTGTTGAAAAAATGTGTACAGACTACTTAAACATATATGAAAATAGGATAAAAAGTTCGATAGAATTAATTATTTTTTTCGAGAAAAAGGAATATACGTTATGTTTCAAAGTAATCTATGTTTCAATGAAATTTGTTTTGAAATTAGAGTACTATACGAAATACATTCTTTATTTTGTATATTTTGCATATTTAGGTTTAAAACCGGTGCCTTTTTATCATATATTCGATGTTTCTTTTTATAAGAAAAAGGAATATACGTTATGTTTCAAAGTAATCTGTGTTTCAAAGAAATTTGTTTTGAAATTAGAGTACTATAAAAATACATTCTTTATTTTGTATATTTTGCATATTTATGTTTAAAAACATAAGCAATAATATATTGCAAATGTTATTTATCGTGCTTATGTGAAATATCTATCTCGACAAATTAGTTTCGTCTATCACCATACTTTCGCATCATAATTGTGTAGTGTTTACACAAATACAGGCCATATGATACCATATTTCTGTAACCTTGTGTTGCTACTTCCTACACACAAACAGGATCATAAAAAAATTGTTAACATTTTTTTATAATAAAACTTTTTGTCTGCACTATGTTGCTCCTTTGAAGCTTTTTACTTTTTTTTAGAATAAAATATTCAGAAATTACGAAAAAATTGACCTTGAATTCCAAGGTCATAATGGATTTTACGGATGGTATTTTTTACAAATGTCCATTAATGCAGATGTGTAGGAGATAGCCTGAAAGTGGTGACCATTAATATTTGAACACTCTGTAGTTCGCCCAGGGACCAGGATGGAAAGGTTAGCGTACTCTAGTCTCGAGTGTCTATGCCCTGTATGTATTCGACCTAGAAGCGGTCCGATTTATTCACGGAAAGAACAGAGGTAAGATATCGCAACTGTCGATTCGGAAGACAACGCGATATCGGTGATCGACGATTTCTATGCCGCCCGATACCTTCGCATCGTCTCGAGCGTAGACTACTCGAATCACAAATAACTTCGTGTATGCAGCGAGCTGGACGTTTCGATCATTTTCCCAACAAACCTTGAATCTATTTACTACCACAGTTAATTTTGTCCGCGACAATATCAATTATTTAAAAAGTTATAACTACTTTTTCCCTAATTAAAATTGCGTAATTAATTTGGCTTATTGTTCATGAGGGAATATCACAGTTCTTTTTCTTTATGTTTTAAGATTAATGAAAATTAATTTCGACCATTGTTACTGTTTAAAAAGATATCTAATCTTTTTTAAGGGCCGCTTCTAATTTCATGAAGCGTCAAACAGACTCACAAAAATATTGTTTTGGGCCTTGTAATTGAATATCACAGCTACAATTTGTTTTTATTTTATTGAGGTGGATATTTTATTAAGTCGGGTGTGAGGCGCTTTGGATGCGTGAAAATCATAGCTGTATTTAACAATTTTTGTTGTGGAAAAGATGATCTCTTTGCTGGATTTATTATACATATCGAATTTAAAAAAAGTAACGGACACACTTATTATCTCAGAATCTATAAATTGTAGGGAAAAATAACGCTTATTGAATAATAAATGATATGTAGCGATAGAAAAGTTGTGATCATTATTGTAGTACGCCAATAAAAAAAAAAAGGAAACCGAATAACAAAATAAATGAACAATTTTAAATAGTTATAAGTAGAATGCGGATCTTTGTGCATTTATAGAAAATTTGAATGTGTAAGAAACTACAAAATGTAAACAATATAGAAGAATATAAAAAAGATTGATAACAAACTTCATGTTATAATATTTGCGAAATAAAATAAATTTTGCATAAAAATCGGCAGTCAAGTTATAAGTAAGATGGTAGTTCTGACTTAAGGTAGTTCAAGCTAGACAATAAGGTAGCATTAAAAAATATTGAATTATCAGTTAATGGAAAATGTTTAAAACAGATGTTTTCAAAGTTATTAATAACAAAATGTTCGGAGTTAGTAAAGATAAAAAGATAGAGAATGAATGAATGAACAAGGCTCAGTGTATAAGTATGTTAGAGACAAGAAAACATAAAGTACAATGGAGTAACAATATTACAGCTAAGTGTATATAACAAACTATAGACTAAGAAACTTTGTATAAATTTTGTACCACATTCTGGTGTAACATAGACCTCTACTGTCTATAACACCTTAAATAAAGAAAGAAAGAAAGAAAGAAATTAGTTGCACATAATAGTGACCACAATGTAATATAAATAATATTATGAAATGGCTATATTTACAAAAAATGTGATTTAGAATAAGTTAAACGTTTATATATTAGAAAAATAACAAAAACTAAATAATTAGTTCCTAAATATAAGACTGAAATGTAATAAAATAAGAAATTGTAAAACAAAACTGTAAGAAAAGACAGTGCAATGTAAGAATAATTCTTATGCACTTAAATAAAGAACAAGTAAGTAAGTAAGTAAGTAAATTAGTGGCACTTAAAATATAAAGGGAACAAGTAGATGCTGACAAATATAAGTTAAATAATTTACATATATATGTATACTTTGTTACAGGATATGGTAGATATAAGATGCGTAGCATATAAGTAGTTATTAATCCGTTGGTGAATAGAATGTGTTCTTCACCAATTCCACTGTTAATGTTAGCCAAAGTAAGAATAGAGAAATCAAAATAGGTGGTAGTCAGTTTTTGGGCTAAAGAAAAGAATTAATTTTGTTGTTTTCCCTTGTTTATATTTCAGTTAGTCCGATCATCTAATAATTAAGTTTAATATAAGGCAAATGTGATTAAAAAGTACAGCACAAGTATACGTGTAAGGTAAAGAACTAGTATTATATGTGATACAAAGTGATGCGATAAACTAGATACCATCCGATTAAATTGAGTTTAAAACGTAGAGATATAAGAAAAAAAAAGAAGATACGGAAAAAAGAAATGTACGTTAAGAAACATTGTACAAAAAATGTAATGAAAAACAGTGTAAACTGGTAATATTACCAAGCACTTAAAATAAACGGTTGAAATGAAAATAAGTGGCACCATCTAGCGTCAGAAACGCACGCTATTCCTCTTCATACTTATCGTTAGAAGGTGCTTTCCCTACTATCATACAAAATAGCTCGACGAATAGTTCTGAAGGTAACTTTGATACAATATTGCAACAAAAAAAAAAAGAATAGAGAAGATCTCGAAACATATAACCTAACACGTTGATAATACCTCATGGAATGGACAAGATTAAGCGACATTTGTTTAATAATTCAACCCCGAGTCGTGAAATGCAACCACAAAGGAGCGTCGACGAAGAGGAGAATGAAAGTGAAAGCGATTCCGAGGATACGACGTGTTGCCATCGAATGACAATATGCCATCCCTTTATACGAAATATCAACGTAACGAGAACTATCTTTAGACTCGGGACTTTCCGTTTGACATGGGGAAACTTGTTTGCATTGGCAACTAACACGGCACTGGTGGTACTCGGTTGGGTGGTCCTGTATTCTTTACTGGGCGACACGATGCTTCCAAAGAAAGACGGCTTCGGTTTGTACTTTCTCGCAGTATTCTCTTATGTTCTCGGTTGGGGTTTGTCGTACATCCCTTATCTGAAACTTCCGCCTATATTCGGGATGCTGCTCGCCGGCGTGATAGTCCGTAACTGCGGAATCTATAATATACGCGCGGAACTCGGTCTCAGCGCGACTGCCAAGATCAGAACCTTTTGTTTGTCCTTCCTTATGATACGCGCGGGCCTCCAATTGTCGACAATGACTTTGAAGACGCATCCGATGTTGATAATAGCCTTGGGCGTCATTCCGTGTTCCGTAGAAATGGTAATTATGTCTCTATGTTGCAAGGGAATTCTGTTATTCCCTTGGAATTGGGCAGCAATGACCGGGTGAGTCTGATTGAAAAATCCATACGGTTTCGGTAATTATGAGACTGCGGATCTTTATGCATTTACAATATGTCGAAATATGCAAAATATATGCAAAATATTAGGTTGTCCCAAAAGTTCCTTCCGTCATTTGCACTCAATTATTTTCTACCTAATTTATTAGATGGTAATATTGTATAACAGTAATGGAGTAAAATGAATCGTACGTAATTTAATAATGTAACATTAGACATAAAATATTCTGTACGTATTACTTATTAATGAAGTAGAAGAAACTTTTGGGACAACCTAATACATGCAAGATGTATACAAGGTATATGCTAAATATAAGTATAGGGAATGTATGTATGGATCTATAAAATAAATATATAATAACTACTTATTATTACTACATAATTATTTAACCCTTTGCGCTCGGTTGGCGCCTCTAGAGCGACATACCTATTTAATTTAAAAGTGATTTTGTGAACGTACAATTTCAATTTCACTTATATCAGAATACAGGTAATTATTAATTGAAATAATAATACATTGAGTCATGAACGTTAGTAGACGTTTCTCTTCGAAGTGGAGTTTTTGGTTTCACAGAAATTTATTATAAAAATTGACTGGATTTCATTCTATAGAAAAATCCCTCGAGCGCAAAGGGTTAATAACTATTTTTTATTGTTTCATTTATTATAATTTAAATTATAATATACAACAATAGTTTTTTCAATATTTTCGATTGCAAATTGATGCCTCTTACCTGTTAAAATGAATTTATACGTCGAAAAAGAGCGTTCTAAATCACATGATGTTATAGTAGATGTAATGCATATTTAAATTTACTCCAATGATGTGCCAGAACCTCTCGTGGTTCTTCAATGTGTTCACCCTTTAAAATCTTGCTTAGTTTTAGTAATATATTAAAATATACGTTTCATTTTAATACTGATTCTATTTTATCTATAACTTTTTCTCCGTAATCACCGGGTATAATTTTTTAATTTTTTGTAACTGTAATTACCAAATCTATACATTCTGTTAGAGGTAATCCTATTGTTACCAATTTCTTTATAGCCTCAGGTAACATTTGGAAATGGCTCTGAATAAATGTTAAATTTTACTGTTTAACTTGGAAAATGAAGATTAACTGCGGCGTGACTCCGTCTGTTTACATATCATATCATCGACTTTGTTCTGTCTCTCACTGTATTTCAATACAGTACTTACCAAATCGAAATTAGAACACGTTGTCGATCGTAGCTGATCAGTCTTTTAGGCACATCTATCTTATTTATTCTGACGGACCATTGAATAATCAGATATGCATTTATGCAAAAAATATGCACAATATGCAAAACATATGCGACATATGCTACATGCAAAATATGCAAAATAAAAAATATATTTTTGGAATCATCTAATCGTGACATAAATTTCTGTCCAGGTCCCATTCGTCTACCTATTTTCTACAAAAATATGCATTTGTATAAAGATCCGCAGTCTAGTAATTATAGACTAGGACAGAAAATAGGACACCCTGCTAATCTCTAAATGTTTAATTAATAGGTAACATAAACGAAATGTATTGTATATACAGGGTGGGCCAAATAAGAGTAACTAGCTATAAGATTGTTGTCACTGAAAAATTATTCACAGAGAAATGAATTATAGGCCATTTATCACACGGTCAAATTCGTCATTAAAGATTTACATTTAAAAATCTATCTCGACATTACACCCAGTTAGATGCGTTCATCTGTTAAGGGGTAAAACCACTCTAAGATTTTCAAAAAATCGATTTTTTTTGCTTAAACGATACTTTAGGGTCATCAAAATAATACGTTATTTGATTTATAGTGAAAAACAAATGTTAAAAGGATCAATTATCGATTTTGCTGCAGCGCCTCAGAGCGCGATTAAAATTTTTATAAAACTTTAAACGCATTTTTCTCGAAACCACTTTCTCCAAACTGGGAGGACGGATTTCTCAGTGATTATTGCATGGATCGATTTGAAATTTTTACAGTAGCTTCACAACAATATTCTCTTTGGAAATACGTAGCCGGTTTTTGATTGAATGTAACCTTTTTTTTTTATAAATAATGTAATGCTCATTTTTAGGGCAAAAAGTCGATTCATTGATTAAAAAGAGCGCTACTTGCACAAAAATTGATTAGGAAGGAAAACCCTAGGTACTTCCAAAGCCAATTGTATATAGATTATAAATTTTCTTTACTTTTTGTTCCGTGACTCATAGATGCCGAGAAATCCGTCCTCCCGTGGCGGTGTTTTCAAAAAAGCTGTTTACGACGACGGGCTTTGTCGCCGCCATTTTGTATGAAAATGACAATAAAAAAAAGTCTTTTCCGTTCTCCAATATGTGTTAAATAAACTCTCTGAAAAGAAATTCTATTCCATTTGTTACACTCCCAAAATAAATTGTCAAATTTAGGTCTTTTTTTCTGCCTCTAGAGTGGTTTTACCCCTTAAAAAGTACTTAACTACATATTTACATAAACACTACAGTAATTATTGCACCTACGTAAATAAGAATGGTATTCCACGGGGGTGAAACCGCGGAGCGCAGCTTGTATGTAATAAACTTCAACCTTAACATTCATTTTTCATAAATAACTTCAGCTATAACATTTCTACAATCATAAATGATTTCAATTTTACTAGCGTGTTAAAAGGTATCAATAACTCATGAATAGACTGCGGATTTGTATGCATTTATAGGAAATTTGAATGTGCAAGAAATTACAAAATGCAAACAATATGCAAGAATATAAAAAAGATTGAAAGTAAAGTTCGTGTTATAATATTTACAGAATAAAATAATGTCTTATTTAGGTTCAATTTTTGTAGACATTTTATTTCGCGAAGATTTTATTTTTTATACACATCCGCATTTTAGTTATCAGTAAATTTGCAATGGTGCATGTGTAATCGATAATTGCATTATTTTTTTAAATAGAAATGCATTTTTTCTGTACATAGGTCGATTCCTTTCGTCATTCTACGTAAAAAAGTGTTACGGCAAAGTAGTAAATAAATTATTAGTTTATGAGATACTTTAATCAATTATCTGTAATAAAGAATATGCTCAAACGTTTACAACTTTGCCGAAACTCGTTTGTACATCTTCTTCACAAAATTCTGATTATTAAATAAAACTGATAAATTGATTTTCTGCGTTCCATTTTTACACATATATGTCCTATCTTTTAGTCCCACTGATTTTCTTCGATATTTACACTTTTTCAAATAAAATCATATCGAATATCGAAATCTTAATTTACGCAGCTGAAACTTATGAAGAAAAACAGTATAAAATGTTATTATAAACAATTAATTTCGTTTATGTTACTATGAAATAAAAAGTAAGGAATTAGCAGGGTGTCCTATCTTTTTGTCCCTGACAATACGAGAATTGTTCCTTCACTTTTCCTAGAGTTAAATCTTGTAGAGTGCAACACAATTTTTTAAGGAATGTATAATAGTCTAATTAAAGTAGTCTAGCTGTTAAAATTTCAAAGAATATTTAAATTTACGAATTAACTTCTTAACTAAACTACAGACTTGTTTTGCGATGTTTGACTTTAAAAGTCCTTGAGATTATCAGAAAAATCATTAAGAAAAAACTTTTCGTTTCGCGCCCTCCATTCGTAATGAATAATTTAAAAAATTGACCACTAAAGTTTAAGAACTGTAGGAAAATATTACTCTTGTGTTGCTTCATAGGCACCTCTCTCATACATTTAACTTGCAACAATTTGTTTATAAATTCATAAATTTAACAATTACTAAAAAACAATTTTCTCTTTCATTAACAACCAAACAAAAGTTGATTTCGGAACAGCCCTCGTATGTACAACGTTGACGATCTCACCGATTTCAATGGCTTTTTAATGTGTTGTAGGTTAAAATCCGCTGAGTAATCTAAATATACAAAAATGTTTTACGATTATTCTCAGCTTTCAAAGTATAATCAGTAGAAACTTTGGGTTATAGTTCGAAACTACACCATTGGGGTGCACTTTGCTAGAAACAAAAAGGATATCAGTGGTCGAATATAATTTATGTTATTTCTTTTAATAATTGTAAAACAATTTTAATAATGTGTACTTTCATTTGAAATAAAAAAAACTTTGCTACTCAATCGTCTTTGTAAATGGTAAATACGTACACTGGTGAACAAAATTATAAGACACTCTAAAAATTGGAGGTTTAGATATATTTCATACCACTTGTGTTTGATTAAAAAACAGAATCACATAGTCACTTTTGGAAAACCCTTAATTTCGAAGCTATTGAAATCGAATGAGTTAAATGTCTTTGACACGGTACACGAATTGACACGGTTTTCTCTTTTTCTCCTCTAATAAAGGTCGATACTCTCTGGAATGTCACCGGTGGTGGCCATCAACAACATCCTAGGTCTGGCCGAAAAAGGCTACGGCGAAGACAAGGGACTGGCAACTATGATCTGCACAGCTGCGTGTATCGACAACGTGCACATTGTCCCCATTTTCGTAATTTGCTACTCGATCGTCTTCGCAAATGGTAAATACGTACATCGGTGAACAAAATTATAAGATACTCTGAAAATTGTAGGTTTAGATACTCGATACTTATATAAAAATAATAATAGTTATATAAAAATGCATTTTATCAAATTGAAATTGTTTATTTTTAATAACATTGTCATAAATTTTGCGAAAAGTAGTAAGAAATTCCAAATTTATTCAAAACTAATATTCATTTGGACACTATAATTATAAGACACTGCTTAAAAGAAAGGAAAGAATGTACATAATATTAGAATTTCACACATTTTGAAATGTTAGTAATGTAGTGCCTCATTTATTTTGAACTTCGACCATTCGTTGCTTCAGGCTTTTATACAATTTTTTTATTTACTTTTTATCTAAGTCTGTTTAATCTTTCAGAATTGTTACCTTGTTAATTACTTTCTGGGTAATTATAAGTAATTGTTAAAAAGTAATTGAATTACACCGTAATTACGAATAAAGTATTACATAATTACTAAAAACAAAGTAATCAAGAATTACTTAAATAATTACTTTCTAATTCAAAAGTAATTATTCCAATTTGTACAGCTCTGGTTTGAAAGTATAAATGGGGTGTCTTATAATTTTGCCAATCAGTGTATATCGTTAGCTAGCTATCGCGAAAAATAAGCAAAATTTTATAAAAATAATTGATGAAAAATGAAAGTACCGTATAGGAGTGGTTTTCCAATTTTCTCGTTTAAAGGTGCCCTCTTATAAAAAATCATTAATAAACAGACAGTTTTAATATTTCACTTTTTAATCAAGTAAATAACACGAAATAAAAAATCTTATTGTGCTGTGTTTAGACATCATTGAAGTAGATAGAAAAGTGTTGTATTGAGCAAAAGGATCAGTTTAATAATTCGGTACATAGATACGTATTAAGGAGACGAATTTGTGTTGAATTATGATGACGGGTTTGTAGAGAATTTCCCGATGTATGTTCAAAACGGTGAAGATCCTTAATTATTGACGAAGAAAAATTTCAAATTTTCAGACAAGGGGAAAGGTAAAATGTGGGTTTACATACCCGCTGGTCTCCGAGACTTTATATTAGGCATCCTGACGGGACTTGTCTTGGGAATTTTGTTCACCTTTTTCCCTCATCGAGGTCATGTGAGTATCTATTCCTTAGGATGGAGCGAAAAATAAAAGTATCTATTTCAAAATGCAGTATGATCAAAGTATGAGTTCTAACTTGCTGCTTGACGCTACGAATCTATACGTAATTTAAACAATGCTTCTGAGTTTTTCCACCAAGCCTTACGGGAAGCCACTCATGTACAAATAAACTACCAGTAATTTTTTAGATAAAAATTTGGACATAGCATTCTTATATGGCTTTCGACGATGAATTAAATGATGTAAAACTGAATTTAAGAAGAATAATAACAAATTTAAACTTTTTTTAAATTCCGCGATATCCACTAGATGATTCTTATAGGGTTCCTCGTTCTAAATACGAATCTGAAAGTGAAATTGCTCCATCACCCTTAGTTTCCGAGAAATACGAGATTTTGCAAAAACGGTCAATTTTTAGAGAAAACGTAGTACTACTTGAAAACTACGAACGCTAGAAAGTTCTATTTAGTCTTAAAAGATAGAGGAGTGCTTTCTAAATATGAAGACATATTCCTTTAGAATTATCTGCTCTTTTGAATGCCTGTAAATGAACACCGAAGTTCAAAAAGTTGTCAATACGAGTACTTTTCACGCAATACTTTTGTATTTTAATGAAAAGTTATTCGTCTAGGTCGAATTTACTATGCATTATAGGATTCTGCAAACATTTCTGAAGAGAAAACCACCCGCGGCAAATGTTGGAACGTTTTCTAGTTCGTACAGATCCAGAAAATATTAATTTAGAACGCACGAATTCTGTTTGCCAGCGCGCAGGCTTCGCTCGCTTTATATCGGTGAATCAGGGCCGTCGTCATGCGTTCTGCAGAATCGTCGCTACGTGCTTGAATAGTAACCATCAAATTCTCGTAACTTCGTTAAAATTCGCACCACATGGACGAATAGAAAACCATTTTAAAGCTTAATGTTTCTCTTTTTAGATACTTTAATCTGTTGTTATTTAAGTTAGTGTTTGGGGGGTAAACTCTGCTCTAAAGAGAAATTTGTTAGGTAGCAGTTTTCATTAAAAATTAACAACAAAATATACAATTATAGATTGAATTAATTGTTAAATAATTCAATTTAGATTTAAATAAAGTTTGCTCAATACCAAATTACTAAAGTCGAATAATTGAAGATATAAAAACGGGAAACTAATAATTAAAATTTAAACAGTGGACAATTGTTTCCGTTTAGTTGAGTTGCAGTATAAATGAGATATTAAAAATGAAGAATTACTTATCTGGAACATGTTAATGTAATACAAAAACCGATAGCTCGTGGCACCGATTAGGCGAATCCCGTAGGGCCGGCCCTGACTGTCCGAAACATAGCGAGCAATGGCTGTGCAGCGGCAAAACACCGTTCATGCGTTCCGAGTTGACGTTTTGTGAAACCGTATGGACTAGAAACCGTTCCAACATTTGCCGCGGGTGGTTTTTTCTTCAGAAGTGTTTGCAAAATCCGATAACGTAGTGTACAATCGACCTAGGTGGATAACTCTTCATTAAAATACAAAAGTATTGCGTGAAAAATTCACGCATCATCACCTTTTTTAAAATTCGGTGTTCATTTATAGGCATTCAAAAGAGCAGATAATTCTAAAGGAATATGTCTTCATATTCAGAAAACACTCTTCTATCTTTTAAGACTAAATTGAACTTTCTAGCGTTCGTAGTTTTCAAGTAGTACTACGTTTTCTCTCAAAACCGACCGTATTTACAAAATCCCGTATTTCTCGAAAACTAAGGGTGATGGAGCAATTTCACTTTTAGATTCGTATTTAGGACGAGGAACCCTATAAGAATCACCTAGTGGATATCGCGGAAAAAAATCGTGTTGAACAGTGTAATTTTCGCGTGTTTTGAATTTCAATTAACCCAGCTTTGAGATAGAGTGATCACCGCGGATTACTCATATAAAAAAAAACGACAACACTGCAACTTTTTTAATTTAAGATATTTTTAAATACAAAAATTGCGACGGTCAGACAATCGAATATTCGTTTCTTGTTTGTAATGTTATGAAAGTATGTACCTTTAAGTATGCACCGTTTAAATTTCATTAAAAAATTTTTTAAATTAACGGAGGGACGGCGGAACGCAGGTAGAGATCGTTTTGTTTCTCGCAAGTCAATGAGTTTTAACAGCTGGCTCCGAAGCACATTTTTTCATCTTTCAAGACCGTTGAAATTGCGAGTTGTGTAGCAAGTTGTACATTTAACGATGGATTTTTATCAGCAATTGAAATAAATTGCAAGACTTTTATTAAGAAGAAAAACATGCTCCAGAGGATATTAAACGTAAACGAGAAATGCCATTCGCGAAGAAGGAATCCACTGTAGGGATTTAAAAGAGGCTAGAACTGCTAAAAGACAGAATAATGTAACATTGAGGACTTGAATGTAGAAATGGAGAATTTATTTAAAGAGTTGATTAACCGGGCAAAATATCATTCATGATGTACTATGAAAGGAACGTAAAATCTCGAGGCTGTTTCTCGAAAGTATTTTTTTTGAGTCTGTGTCGAAGAAATCTCTGGAAATAATTAAGCAGTCTGCACCAAATTTGATGATTATGTTCCGAAGACATCTTTCTATGGTCGGTATTAGAATTATTGCCTTATCTATTATTGTTTTTTCTATAACAACGAAAGTTTCATCAAGATTTAGGCTGAATGTGAGAATTTTTCTTATAAAGGCCGTATTTTAAAAAATCTTTTATATTTTTGTAACAATTCTAGTACCGACCACAGACACATTCATATGAAATAAGATACTTTTTACATTTTGTGTTTCTGATGATCCCCAACGCCATTCTTTTCAACACTGAGCACCTTTGTGTCTTTTACAACTTTACAAACAACAGCTTTTAAATTACAAATTTTCTATGTTTTTTAATTACAAAACTTCATATGTATTGTAGATAAATCAACGAAAAAAACATAATAAATTAAAACTCTTTGGGCTCAATTTTAGGAGGAAAGTAATCGCAAAAATGATTCATTCTCTGAATCGACAAAGCAGAAATCTCTTAATCGACTTTTCGCCGTGGTAGCCAATATTGTGTTACCTATTACTAGTACGCTCCCACATTCCTACATAATTTGAAAAAAAATGTCGTTTACAATTAATGAAAAAAGAATTAGTGGAGAATTCTATGTAGATGATCTGTAGAATGTTCTGCCAAGAATTCAACGCATGATAGCGGTGACGAAAGTGATGGTCGTGACGTAACTATTCAAAAGCAATGTTATGTATTGTCATTGGAAAATAGTGATTCAGAGAGCGAACATTTAAATGACGTTGTCGTAAACGATCACAAGGTCTAATTGAAAAGCCCATATACAGAGTGGGGAAATTACTTTGTCAACCTTGGATATTTTTATTATGTTCCAATGAAAAAAATTGTCAGACAACGTTGCACTGTTTTAAGGAGCGTTTAAAATGGGTACAAAATAATTCTAAAGTTGTCTCAACAGCATTTATTAGATAAAGATTTTAAAAATTCCATTTAGCATTCCATTTAAAAACATTGATGACCTTGAAAATTCATAAATAAATGAACTTGGAAAAAATTATCTTCTACCATTGTAAGTGCTCCTCAAAACAGTGCAGGTTTGTTCTGACAAGTTTTTTCATAGGACTATAAATAACGGAGATATTCAAAGTGGACAAAGTTATTGCTCCCACCCTATATTTCTACGCGGAGTCTAAACAGTATCGGTAGAGTATTAAGAGCAACCGTGAATTTATTAAGGGGGTATTATCGTCTAGAAACTTCAAAAATTCGATTTTTTTTCTTTTGCATTTTCTTATCATTTGGGGTTTTGAGAAAGTGCCTCTAAAATATTAATTTGAAATTCGTAGAGCTTTCATAGTTACAGAGGCTTAAAGGTTGTTCACCAGTATTAGTGCTAAATGTATAGCAAACTTTAAACGCGTTTTTCTCGAAACGACATTTTTCAAGTCGGGCGCACGTTTTTCTCAAAAACTATTGGACCGACTAACTTCTGGTTTTACACACATTTCGAGGGCACCATCGCCTATGGTCTGAACTAGAATTATACCGATAGCTTGAATATTTTAGCCCTGCTCTCATATTTTAATTGACAATTTTCCGGGAAAATTAAACCTTAATTTTCAAACAGCTGCGATTCTGATAAAAAATTTAGTATTTACTTAATTCTAGTTCAGACGATAACTATATTCATGTAGATTGAAAACAAAAATTTGTTTTTCTGTCTCAGACAACTAGAACAGCCTGTACGCCCGATTGAACGAGCGTCTTAATTACGCCACAACCTGCATAACAGCGCATAACTTGTATAGATTTCAATCAAGTATTTCATAAAAATTTGTGTTGTTACTTGAAACGTGTTTTATTATGCATAAAAAACCCTGTTGCTGTAGGTTTGATAGTTTTCGCAAAATTAATTCCTAAAAATTACTGAAAAAACAAACTTCTAGTCGATAATACACCCTTAACGTCATAAAAATCACTGGCATCGAGGTGCAAAAGTGATCGACTCGACCTACATCTGCACGGGAAAATCAGTCGCGATACATACAAATCGGTGATATAAGTTGGCCAACCGCGCACGAATCCGGGACTCCTGAAGAACCAAAGTAGAACGACCGCAACGAAGAGGACACCGACGGAGGATTCGTGCCACGTAATCGGGCCGAGTTCCTTGTACCTTTTCTGGATAACGGCCGCGGCGACCTTCTCACCTTGCGCGCCAATATCAATGGCGCGCGCGTCTTTGCTTCTCGGCCTGAACATTCCCATGTACATTATTTGAAGCCACATCCACGTAAGAAAACCCATCAACAGCATTGGCGGGACCGAGTAGAGCATCCACGAAGTCAGGCTGATGCCCGGACTGTTTGGGAACCGCCTGAAATTGAAAAGAATAAGTGCATGGAAGTATGCGGTTAGTCTCATTTGAACGCTTGGATGGTTCTGTAAGTGGGTAACTGGATCGATGTTAGTCGTAACGGTGGTGATAGTCTTGGGACAGAGATGAGCAAAATATTAGGTTGTCTCAAAAGTTTCTTTCGTAATCAGAACTGAGTAAAATACGTATTTTAAATAATAAACAGTAAGTAAATATTTTATTTCGGATTATGCAAGTATTTTTAAAAATAAAATATTTTATTTGTTATAAAAAATGTTTAGGATAATATTTCAAGTAATATTCTATTTGAAAAACACTGAAAATATTTGTGCCATAGTTCGGAATATTTTATTTATTTAATTTATTATCAGCAAATAAAATATTTTTATTTTACTAAATTATAGTGTAAAATATATTTATTTTGGTAATCTGAAACGAACGAAGTACTTTTCCTCTGCATTATAAATATACATTGAATGTAGTTCTTCAATGACAATAAGAATCTTTATAAAATGAGTGATGGAAAGAGATATTCTTCAATCGCAAGAAATAGTTTCTTCATCTGTGTATCATATTTACACAGTTTATTTTCAGGTTAACTATGAAAAGTATTCAATTTTATGCTTTATGTTATTAAAATGAAACATATTTTATTTTACGTTTTACCTTATCAAAATAAAATATTTTATTTGCTGAAATTTTATATTCCATTTGAAATACTATTTTATTTGAATTCTGAAGAATCTGTTATTTAAAATAGTATTTAAAATATTTTCTCTACAAATATTACCCACCTCTGTTCGTAATCTGCACTCAATTATTTTTGTGTGGCAGTATTTATATAAGTAGATAATCTAATTTCTTAGATGTTGATGTCGTAACAGTAATGGAGCAAAATGAATCGTACACAATTCAGTAAGACATAAAATATCATTAGACATAAAATATTGTGTATGTATTACTTATTAATAAAACGAAAGAAACTTTTGGAACAACCTAATAATATACGAGTAATTGATGATAGATAAAACCAACGTATTTGATCCCAACGTTTATTCGATTCAACAGTCAAATTAGTATATTACGTTTGTTATCGAATATTTCCTTTCGTGGGTCAAATTTTAATTTTTCTTTGAACAGTAACAAATAAATATAACGTGTATCTTTTATTCGTTGTATACAGACTGCGGATGTTTATGCATTTATGGCAAATGAAAATGTGGGGAAATCAACGAGAATGTGCACGAATAATATGAATGTTTCACCGTGTAGGAAATAAGACATACTTTTATGTTAACACTTCGCACTCTGTAAAGTTTTTAAGTTCAGCTAACTTTGGTGGTTATTAGACGGGATGAACTTACGCGACTGCAAAAGTATCAAATGTGCATGCTTCTTTGAAGGTTTCCATACAAATAGCACGAAAAAACAAATAAAAATATAGTACGTATATTGATACGAACAAAATATAAATCGGTGTTATGTAAAAAGAAAATAGGCGCACAGTCCACACTTAAAAAATGCGATAAAGAGCATTTGTATAAGAAAGGTGTATGAATATACTATGTATGAAATGGTGTAATTTGTGAAGATAAACAAGGAAGCCTAAGATTATAACCTAACTAAAACACAAGAACTTTCAATGCATGTCTGTGATTATTTCACAAAATACATTTCGCACACATTAGAATGGTATAAAATAGTATAGAATAGTATAAAATTTTGATTTTCGACATAAATATATTCCTCAATGTTTAAAAATTTATATAAGCTCAAGTACTGTTACAATGAATTATATATTTTTTAAGTTACATTATTTAATACGTCGTGATCGTACTGTTTGCATATTCTGTAATAAAATGACTCCGAGTGCAAAGGATTATGTTTCAATTCTTTTTCTGTACCTGTGAAAATATGAATTTTCATAAACATCCGCAGTCTAGTTATATATTTTGACTTAAGTGTTTTTGTTTATCTTTATCTTGAGAAAGTGCTTACTTTTCGAAGAAACCTTTCAACGTTAAATTGGTGCCTGTCCCGACTAACGTGCCTACGCCTCCTAGGCTGGAAGCGTACGCCGCCACAAGATAATAAACCATCGTGACGCGCGTCGGTTTTTTCGCCCTGCAAAAGTCATACGGCTAGAGGACAACAATTAACGGCGGGACTCTGCTTTCTTTTTAAAAGCAAGGATCGCATCGATACGATCGCCGATAAGCGAAACGGTAGACGAGCCGAGCGATTTTATAGATTTACGGCTACGTACGGCTCTTCTCGGCCCTCTTCTCCGCCACTTCCGTTCTCCTCGCGCACAAACATATTACCCAAGCCTTGCTGAAAACACAAAGGTGGAATTTTGATCAGACCAAATGTAAGAATTTATTCACGGCTAATTTTACGTCAAATCGTGGTCAGAGATTTTGTTGAAATTGGAATATACAGTGGGTGTAGAATGTATTCGTACAGCGATCAATTTCCCAAAAAACTTTTGTGTAAAATTGTAGTTTATTAACTTCTTTTTTGTATAATCAATGATATTTTACATATTCTCGGAAGTCTCTAAGATAGATGTAGTCCAAACAACATTTACTAGTTAATATAATTTTTGTGAAATTAACAAAAAAATACGAAAAGTGGGTAAAAGTATAGAAGCAATAAGTATTTGTACGATTCTTATGAC